GTGTGTGTGTGTGTGTGTTGGTCATGGTGGTGGGGGTGGGGGTGTTGGGAAGCCCTACTTGCCTCTGTCAGAGGGGTTGAAAATGAAAAGACATGCTGCATTTCAGCATGTTTTCCCTACATGTTCTGGGAACATCGGTAGCAAGTGACTGTTTAGAAGAAGCAAGTAGAGTATGCTTTAATGATGGTGCTGTGATACTGACAGACACTCGCTCTGAGAAGGTGCCTCATTTGATCCCAATGCGCCCCTTCTATTTATAAAAAGGCTCAGAGCTACACTATGAACCCACTACTGACTGATAATGTCCAGACTATTGCCCTACCCAGTCAAAATGTTCATCCCAAAAATTCAGTTTTGGTTCACAGAACACTGCACTGAAAACTTGACATTTGGACAAGAAAATCATTGATATTTAATTCCCGGGGCAATTTTTTTCCAATAGACAGCAGACAAAGGATGCTGTGCTTTTTGAAATGTCCAATTCTCAGCACACAACTCCCAGATAGTATTCTACTTTTTTTTTAAAAAAGGATAATGTCTAATCATATGTTTTGTTTTATACCAACGTATTTCATCTCACTTTAAACTAGTCCCTGATTCTCTTCCATCACATTTCCTTGTCTGGTCCACATCCTTTAAATTTGGCCAAACTTTTTTTTAAGGGCAGATGATGATTGTATCAAAGAGCCCAGAGCTAAGCAAACTGCTCTACACTTAGTGTGGAGATGCCAGAGCGGGACACATGCCCTTGCTGTTTTCTCATGCGTGCTTCCAGAAACTGCTTAGGAAAAGCAAATATTCCTTGGCCTCAGAGTAAATTGTTTCCCTTGAGAATAAAACATAAGAATTTACTAAGTCTCACACGAATATTGCAACACTGACCACAGCCTCCTTAAAGAGTGCAAGCAAACAACCGTGGTTTCTACATTAAAGATGAGATCTAACATATTTCAAGTGTGACATGAAAGCTAGCCTACCTTCACCACAAAGTCACGGAAAATGCTGACAACCAGAAGTTATGACTCCTCTTAGCATGCCTAATGCACAGCAGCAGCCCAGGCCTCTCTAAGATGGGCCCCCCTGCCCTTCAGCAGAAGTCTTGAAAAGGGATTAGAAACTTGACATGCACCCCGGAAGCTGAATTGCTGCTTGGCCTGATACCAGCCTGCCCTTGTTGATAGCCTCTTCTCTGAGTGCTGAGTGTCTCTGACACTAATTTTACACACCAAGGAAAGAAAGCGTAATGTAAGGGTAAGTCCAATAGAGGGGAGCCAAAATCTAAAAGCACAACCGTGTAATTGTCTTAGTTTTCAACAATTATCATGATAGGACGATGCTCATGATTCAAGAACATGTCCACACTTAGAAAACTACACGACTGGCCTTCATTTTGCTTTCATCGGCATCTTAATTTTGTTGGCAGATTACAGCAGGAAGCAGGACTAAATGTTGGCACCTGTCTCTGGGTTTTTAGAATCGTGGCTAGAGTGAAGGAAAAGGACCCATTCCTAGTTTATGCATTCTTACATTCATAACTACGGAATTATTCTCATCTATTTTGTAAAGCTTTTTTTTTTTTCCCTTAGATGCTACTTCCTACCCCCATTCCCTCATTGAATTATCTGGAACTTTTAGAATATTTAACAGTCAGTGGTACCTCAGGCCTCTCTCCCGAATGACTCAATATACTAGAAGAGAGGTACAACCAAGGGGCAACTGAGGTGAACTAATTAAGAGATCCTTCTCCCAGACGGATTCTGGGTTCCACCAAGTGAGATGATGGCTACCCTCTGGTGTCTGCTGAGAGAATCAGGAGTTAGGAAAAGGGGTTAGGCTCAAAGGAAGAACCCTAGGGTCTCTTCTGACTTCTGAGGGAGTTTTTGTCCATAGAAGGTATCCCTCTTTCCGCCTGTCCCTTGTCTATAAAACCCTCTACATCTGAGAAAAGAAACTGAAGTCAACCTCCTAGCTATTTATGGGAGTGGTCTAACCTAGTTATGATGCTAAAAGAAAGTCAACTTTCTTCCTAACTTCCATAAGGTGGTTCAGGAACAGAATAGGAAGGAGAGTCAAATGGATGGAACAGGATCATGTCCTATGTGATGGGAGGGGCATCACTTCTGGCTTACTGTTCATAGATGTTTCAACAGACAGGATCCAAGGACTAGCTGTTCAAACACAATCCAAGTGAGATGAGTTAGTCATACATGGTCAAATGGCACAAGACTCTACAAAAGGTAGAAAATAGAGCAATGCTGCCCGGGCCTTGTGGAAGAAGGGCTGAGATGAGGAGTTAGTGCTTCACAGTTTCAGAGTTTTGGATGGAGTTCAAGATAAGATAGTTGCACAGCAATGCGAATATCCCTTATGATTATAAAAATAAAGGATGTCTAGTCAGAAAGAACTGAGTCCAAATCAGAGCTACTTACCTTTTCTGTGCATTCTCCAAGTGAATTTCTTCCATTTTATGCTCTTTTTTGGCTGTGGAAGAGAAATAATAATGATTAAGCTATTTTCTTACATAATAACCCTTGTGTAATCATGTAGCTTTGATCACATCGATTCATTATTACAAGAATTCAAGAGTGTATTTGAGTCACATGCCTGGAGATCATGTTAAAAAACAATGCCGTCTTGAGCATGGCTGTAGCTAGCCACAGTCAAATAACTCTGTTTTGTCTGGAACACCCTTGAGAGTGAAAGGGAATGATAATAATTATAGCTGGAAAAAATACATAAATTGGAAACGTTCTGATAGATGTGGTTGCTCAAGCTATAGCTGGCCTCCTCATGATCATTACCATTGGCCCATTGTGCTCTCTCTCACCCCCAAACATAGTAGAGTAGTGTCTGCAGCAACTCTGCTGGAGTTCCAGAGCAAGCACAAGAATCCTTGCGCAGTCTTCCTTCCATTCACAAGTCCATTGTCAGTCTAGGGGAACCTATCGATGTTTGTCTCAGATCAACATTTTGTAAATGCATTAGGAAAGAAATGCATAAGATTACTGTGGAAATTAATGACACTGAGATACAATATGAATCTACAGATGAAGAGTTCATGTTCTGGGATTATTTAATAAGGAGATTTCATTCTAGGTGTTTTACAAATTTTCCTACTTTGAAGATGATATTATTATGTATGAAAATAACATTCACACTTTTAAAATACCCAGAAAAAATTAAGTAGGCCACAGCATAATCTATGGGCAATCTAAGATGACTTTAAATGAATGAACAAAAAGTCAGTCATAATAATCTCTATTGAGATACTTCATGAAGGGTATTAAAAGGATTTACATTATTAGCATTGTATAAAACTTGGGTGTGCCACTTACTACCTTTGTGTGTGACTATGGAGAAGTTACTCATGACCAAATGATTAATCATTGCCTCATCTGTCCTTTAAGAACAGCCATAGTAATCACTGTCAAGGTTAAATGAGACAATGCAGGTACAGGGCTTAGCACACAACACATGCTCCCTCCACGACATAACAGGATTTATTAACACCTCATCCTCACTTTCTTTGTCGCTCATTCAGAAATGGGCTTCTCCCTGATATCATACTTGACATAATTTCTAAAGTGTTCATAATGTCCTAGGAGGCCCTGGCTCCTTGGAGACAACCATCCTTTCTTTCCCATGTTCATTTCTGTGTGGCCAGATGAGGTTTGAGCACACTGAGTGCATCTGAGACTTTTTGCCCCTGCGGTTTCTCTTCCCTGGAGTACCCCGCTCAGACTCTACATAGCTGTCTCCCTCCTTGCATTCAGGTCTCAGCTCCAATGTCAGCTTCTCTGATGGGTCTCACCACAGAGAAGAACATCCATTCCCACCTCTCATCCCAGGTCCTCCCTCATGGTCTCTTTCTTTTTGCTTCACTTTCCTACCCATTGCCTCTATCTACCCAACAGATGAGACTACTCCTAATACCACATCTGCCTATAATACCACAGTATAATGTAAGCTTCACGAGAATAGTGACTTCACAGTTTTGTTGCTTTCTGCTGTAAGTCCAAAGCAGTATTGAGTTTTTATACACATCAGTGTATATATTGGTCATGAAGTACTTAAAAGGAGAAAGACTGGCTTTCCTAAGCAAACAACTGAATATTTAGACTATAAATGTAAACTAAATATTGTGGGATAATGTGGTATGTCATCACTATGTACATTATATTTCAAGTAATAAAATTGCAACAATATTAAATGGTCTGGTTTGATAAGTGCATCATTTTATGGGGGCTAAGTAGTACTATAGCCCTCCTTTGCTATAATACTTCCCCATAGTCCCAATAGACATTTCTGTGCATTACTCTGATTCTCTGCCAATCAGATGCTGAGAAATAACCTGAATCTCTCAGGTTCCAAGTGTCCCTCAAATGTGAAACAAATCAAAGATTTTTTTTTTTCATGTCAAATGAGTTTAAACTCCATGCATGGCTAAACAGAAGGACAAATTCCTTTGAGCCTTGATGGTCTTCCTAGAGCACCTATGCTGTTCTGTCTGTCATTGGATAGTTTCCAGTTGGCCGAATCTATGATGTAGCAAGTCAACTATGGCCAACCTGTCACTACATATGAATTTAGTGACAAGAAATAGTATATTCAAACTGAATAAACTAGCAGGTAAGACCTTCAACATCACTTCAAATATGGTGACTTGAAAAGAAACAACGTCTGAAAATGCAAAGCAGGTGTTACTCAGAGGTAATGAACTCCATAGAATCTCTGAGAGTTTGGGAGAAAGGGTTCTAAGGAAAGTGATAAGAACTAGTGCCTTTCATTTTTCCCCTGCTAAGGGGCTCTGTACAGACAGAAAGGGACACACTGTGATGTAGATTCTCGACCAGCCTAACATATTTTGCTACCACAAGGCGTGACATTTCTGACAGTGTCACTGACACATTTTAAGTTACCAAATGCTCCATTTAAGCCAAATTCAAATATATTGTTTAGAAAGAAAATGTTTAAAGACTGGATTCATGGAACTAGAAACTAAAATTCCAATATCATTAACAAATAAAGCAATTTGGGGCCAAGTGTAAGAATCTCAGTGATTTCAGATTCGAGCCCTCATTTCTCAGAATTGGAGTTGAAGTCTTGGGGTGTGTAGGTGGATGGGAAATGACAAGGTGATGAGAAAGCTCTGTTCCATTCAAGAGATGGTAGGTGCTCATCTTATTACTGCATCTTCTACATTTCAGAGAGAAGAAAGGATAAGTTAATGTTTAGCAACACTCCATACAGCAAAGAGAATACTCTTGTTGGTCATAGCTTCCTTGGCAACCAGTGACACCAGCCTGAAGTCGCTATCAGCATCTTGAACTAGGTGAGTTCATTCGTAGATTCCATGTGGCCAGAGCCTATTTTAGGTGCTTGGGATCTAGCAGAAAGCGGAGCTGCATCTCCACTGAACTTTGACTTGAGTTAGGGAAGAAAAACCTGACAAGATAGGGCACGCTGTAAGCAACTGTTGGCAACTGGTAGCAGGAGATTTTTTAGAGCACAGATGACACCCACAAAAGGAGCCTTTGTGAGTGAGTTACTGGATTAGTCGAGACAGTCAAAACTGGAGTACCCCTATGCCGGTAGTAGCTTCAAAACTGAGGGTACAATATATTGATAATAATGAGCCTTGTGAAAATTTTCCTTATCCTACAACTTTAACTAATGTCCCTAGATCTATGTATGGAATGTACTTAATCTTCTACTAGGCAAAGTCACATGAGTAAGTGGCATTTCAGTGTTTCTAAGTTTTCTTTCCCCCACAATTTAAACTGTGGCATTAATAGTGGGGGTAGGGTGGATAGGCTTCTTAGAAGACTAAGTTTGAAGTTAGAAGGTTAAATTGGGGGGGGGGTTGTCAGCTGGCATCAGGAGATATGGGAAGATAACATGGGGCACCCCCACCTTGCTCCTGGCTCTTGTTTACAAGACTCTCTTTAAAAGCCTATAGGAAGTTAAATATAATTATTTTCCAAACTGGGGGATAAAGCCACAGTTTTTAAGACAATAAAGGTAATTTAAAAGAATTCCAACAATGAGAAGACTCACTTAACACCAATTCTGCCTTCCAAACTTCTTATCAAGGCTACACATCCAGGGGGCTCTAACCTTTTCACACTGCAACCCGACATTGCCATCTACAGATGTGTCAGGTTCATGACTAACTATGCTGGTTCATTTTTGTGAACTTGACACAAACTAGAGTCACCTTCGAAGAGGAACCTCAGTTGAAGAATTGCTTCTATCAGATTGGGCATATCTTGATGAATGATTAATGTGGAAGGGCCCAGCCACTGTAGATGGTGTGACCCCTGGGCAGGCGCTTTGATGCTATTTCAGTAATGACCAAACATCTTTACCAGTAGATTATAAAACTACTTTCTTTGCTTATTCACAAGAAGCGACTCATCTGTTGCTTGAGATTGTAAAAATTCAATCACATCTTTAGACTCTGATTCTCATTCTAATTCTTTTATCTGTCTGCACTACAGTCATTGCCCCCAAAGACTGGAACCTCTCAAAGTCAAACACAGGGGTAGGAATCAACTTCCTCCAAACTCCTGTTAGTGTTGATATTTTTGAGCTCCTCCCCTAAATCACAAATGCTTTTTAAAATAAATCCAAAATGGTGAGTCTTCTCTAGAATGTTTTTCAATCTACCTTGCCTCTGTTCACCAGAGGAAATCAGTATGTGTGGCAGGTATAGCATTACAAAATGAATTTATATGACTTTTTTTTGTTGTTGTTTTTCAAGACAGAGTAGTCCTGGCTGTCCTGGAACTAGCTCTAGAGTCTAGGCTGGCCTCAAACTCACAGAGATTCCACCTGCCTCTGCCTTCCAACTATTCAGATTAAGGGTGTGCCTGGCACAAAATGAGTTTATTAAACAAGACTTAAAAGTCAAACATACTCTTTGATTCATAGGCTGCAGAATGGCTGTTATGTTTATAGGCAAAAAAGAAAAAAACAAAACAAAACAAATAACTGTAATTCATTGTCCATCTCAATTAGAGCTCCTGGCCCACTAGACATCTTGTCAGTGAGCAATGGCATTTTGAGAACCTTTTTCCCCACTTCTTTCTGAGAAGTCTCAACAGTGGGCTTAGAATATCCAGCAAACCATGTTGAAAACAGATGTGCTCTCAGCTAAGCGTTCTTGTTCCATTTACGGAACCCAAACAGGAGAATTAGTATCCTTAAGGGTCTTAGGATGTTCATAGTAGAGAAATGGCAAAAAAATTACCAGCTGCATTAGTCCCTGGTGAGTCAGCCTGTGCCCTGAAACCAAGCCTGACTTCTACTCTGCAGCTGTGGAAGTCCTCCAGGACATTTTCTTCTAATATGAAGCCTTTTCATATACATTGGCTATCTGTTGTTATATGTAACCACAATCCTCAATGATAAGCTAGAACTTCTGGGTAACATGCTGCAGCCTTGATAACATTATTTGCTAATTTAGCTTCTAGATTTAT